TTTTTTTTCTGAAAAATCCTACTACCTGTAATTGTATTATTCAGCTCCAGAGCATCAGATATTTAGGCATGTCTCTGGAATCTTCCCTCCCCCATCTTAGCACAACACAGCAAGTGTTACCTGTGAGTCTTCCGGGAGACACCTGCTCAGCTGTGTCACGAGAGCAGGGTTGCTAGAGCTGCCGAAGGTGGGAGAGCTGAACTCATGAGGCTGACGCTCCACCGAGGGGTTCTGGGATAGCCTGTTCAGCTGATTCAGGGCGTTGGTCATTAAGAGCTCCCTGGGACTCCGCGGTTCTGTGCTGCTGAACATGTGGCCAACCACAGCGCTGGTCCTGCCATCCCCAAATCTGCTGCGAGTTTCTGGAGAGTCGTTTGCCTTTGCCGTCTCGGTATGCTTCACAGATCCTGTCTAAAAATATGCAAAACAAAAAATGTTGTGACTCCTTTTATTTTCTGAGAGAGACTTTTACAGGACAAACTGCATTTCGTATTTTACCATCTGCTCTCCTGCTACTTTCATCTTCTCTCTACTTTCCGATTTACCCGATACCTTTGGTTCCCCAGCTCTTTACAGAATCTTTAGGGACTTAGCTGATATGCTATCTTGCCCTTTCATTTACCTCTGCTCTAAAAGTCAAAGCTAATTGAGGGTGGCAGGGCAAGCCTTGTGCTGTTAACTTAAAGAGGCAGAATGGACTGACACATATAACTAAAACAGGCAGTCTGGATTGATGCATTCCCTTAATGTGTTGGTGTGCCACCAAGGGAAAAAAAGAGCATTTCTGTGTCTCAACACGCCAGTTCCCAGCACTGGTGGAATAAAGCGGTCTCTGTGATGCAAATAAAGATAGCAATCACTTGTGAAAATAATACCCTTTTATCTGAAATTTGGCAGTTGTAGGTAAATGTATGGGCATTGATGACTTCCACTAGCATTTCACCTGTCTTGGCTCCAATAGCACATAACAGCACAGAACTTACAGCAAAGTGTATTCTGTATCACTTTTACATGAAATCTAGCTCTTTGTGACCGCTGGAAAATCCTCATTAGCAGAAAGTATTGAACGACTGTAGCCATATTTAGTGAGGAACAATGGCATTTCTTTTTTACTTTTTAAATGACAAATGTGTCTATTATGGAGGGAGAAAATCAATGATATCGTAACAGCTGTACATCATTCTACACATGCTGTGTGAGAATGAATGGTGAGTTGCACAAAAACTGCTCTTATCATAAAAGCAGCAGGGTGGATCAGCTCATCTTGTCAATTACCTCCAGGAGCTGGGAACAAATCCAGTTTGGGGAAAACAGCAGAAAACTCAATCTGATCCGATAGCTGTGAAAGGTCACATTGTAAGTCAGCAGTTTTTCTGCGCAAGGTGTCTACTAATAGGATGGAGGTGGGGAGGTAAGCAGAAAAAAAATCACTGACTGGCAAATTATAACATCTCCATATTCTGTCATATTTGTGCTTCCAAACTTATTTGTAGCATATGACCTACAGTATATCACTTCATCTATTATTGAAATGACAATAAAATAACAATCATCCGCCTACCATCGACATTCTGTAATTGGAATTAGCTTGTGTTTTAAAAAAACTAAGCCTGTGCCTATGTTGTAAACCTTCAATAGAATACCTAGAAGATATCATACTGTAGCACATGCCTCAATAAGGTTTCCATGTATCAAATGCACTGCAACAAGTAACTAATGTTTTTTTTCTAGAACAAAGAAATATAAAAAAGAAAAGCTTTTTCAGCTCTTGGTTCAGCAGATTCCATGAGGTCCAATAATGTAGGAGGGTTAGATGAAAAATTATATAAGAGCTACAGTAGTAAGCTACAGGCTGCATTACTGTATATTTTATACTTCTATTGGGTTTTGAGATGTTACTGCAATTGGGAGACTCAGACAAAATGGTTTTTGTTGAACGATCACGTTTCCAGCTTTGCATCCCTATATGTCAGAATTAATGTATACTGTATATATATACAAGATGTTGTTCAGCTGCAGCATCTAAAACTGGATGCAAGGTAAGATGAAGAATAAATGATTAATACTGTGCTTACCTATAACCCTGATAGATCTAATATAGCTTACTAGATTTTTTAAGCTAATGTGATTAATTTAAATGAATGCACTTTACTTATTCTAGGCTTTAAAAGTCACCCTTAGCAATACAGTATCTTTAAAGATCACTGAAGAGATTTCAATTAATTGGATGCTAATGTAGCATTTCGTACTGACAAAAACACCTTACAGAGAATGCAAACACTCACAATTGATCTTCAAAGCACAGAGCTGTTTAGAATTCAAATAATTATCTTCTAAAAACAGAATTTTAGGGAACTGACACAAGTAGATTATAATGTTGCTTGATGCCGTGAATGCCTAGAAATCACTAATCATGATTTGTTAATCAAGCTGCTGTTTCTTTGACTGAAAACTGAGGTTTATAAATAATGTTTTTGAGATTTAAAATGTATACTTTCAATACAAAAAAAACACCTGAATACAGCAAAAAGCACAAATATTAACTTCAACATACCAAACTAAGCTATGTATAGTGTTCACCCAAAGTTATCACAATGCTCTTGAGATTATTTGATTCGAGATAGTAACAATTCTGACATGATACAAGACATAAACTCAGATGAGGAATTACTGCAGACTAGGGGGTTTGAACACCAGAGCTGCAATATCCTCAGCTTTCCAGAAGGATGAATTAATTCTAAAAAATCTGCTTATGCTAGCACCCACAGCTAAAACATAAGGATGCTTTTAGTACTGAAAGTAGTGGAGGGTCGTGAATCAGGCCCACGTAGCTGGTAGGTAATATTAAGAATGTCCCACTGACTTATAGTTATATGCCTCAAATCCTCACCCAAGAGGCAACTGGTGTTTTGATAAAGCTGAATGCCTGCGTTGCTTCACAAATAATAGTTTTCCATTAGGTGAAATGTTTACAGATCATCTATTCTGATTCCAACCACAAAACCACAAAAAACGTTTCTCCAACGCTTCAACAAATTACAGAGTTACAAAAATATGTGCTCTTTACACACCCTTAATACTCAGATCCTTCGTGTCAAACATCCTCATTAACAAACTAGTTATTTATAGTTAAGAGTCTTGGATGAGCACAGTATTCTGCCAGTGCACTTTCATTCTCAAATACTGCATATTAGCAGGTATGATAATCAAAGCTGTAAAAACCATCTACTGTATTTTAAACAAAATGCATGTCTTGCCTTTTCAATTTTCCCAGTGCAACAGACACGTTCATCCCAGTTTTTAGATTATGTGATGTAATCGCATGTGCTTTTGGGTCTTCTTTTCTAAAATAACCCACCACTTAAAAAGCTTCAGGGAGTTTGGGGCAGTGAGAAGACAAGTATTTTACATGCCACAGCAGGAAGAGAAGACAAGCGCTCTGCCTCATTTTTCACGTTTTAATGGATTACATTAACTGGATGATCTTCAGCCTTGTGTCCAGCATCACAACTGACAATCATTAATGAGCAAAAAGTAACTACTCATAACTTAACATGAGTCTCTCATTTCGGAGTCTAAAAAAAGGGCTAAGAGTGATTTTTCAGTAAGCATAAGCTGTATTTCTTATGATCTGTCAACAGACATGACCTATTCATAATCTAACTGCAAAACTGAGATTTCTCTGTTGACTTTTTAGAAACATATACATATTTGTACTGTATATGCTCATTTTATGTCTACACTATTTTATTCTTCACTATATGTTCTGCTTTAAACATAAATGGAAGCACCTAAACACATTAAACTAACTTGTGCTGAAAATGATGTGGCATGTTTCATATGCAACCTTCTTCAAGAACAAGAAAATACTTAAAAGAATAAACATGAAATCCAATGAGAACTCAATCTCATTTTCTATTAATCATTTCTATTAACAGACTTATTTGCAATAGCAGTGAGTTCTTATTTTGACACCCCAGTCCAATTCACTGAAAACAGAATTGCAAACTAATCTGGGGGCCTGAAGCTCATTCTGTAATTTTTGATTTTCCACACAGGTGTAACTGGAAGGCAACACAGACTGAAAAATTAATATAAATATTAACATATGTCATTAACCAGTCAAAGACCTTTGGAGACAACAGGGTGATCTTATTTTCATCCCTGTCCTTCCCCCCCACCTCAGCATCATACGAAGGTCTCGGTGGGCACAGGGCCTGGGGCAGCTGGTTGATGACTTGCACAGCACTGGCAGGGAAGAGCCCACTGGTCCCATTGGCTTCTCCGTGGTACCAGTTCTCATCTAATTTCTGCCGCAAGATGACGAGGTCTCCCAGTTTAATGTTCAAACCTCCAGGTATATTTCCTCTGTAATTATATAAAGCCCGTGCGCATGGAACCTAGAAATTAAAGGAGAAAAACAATTTTTTTAATTATATTTCTTAACCCAAGGTTCATAAAATATATTATTTTTCCCTTCCCTGAGATATACTGGACAAATATTGGCTGATAAGTAAAAGAGACAAATCAAATATCCATCTTGGACCAAATATCCATCTTGGTGGTAGCCATTTAAACATACAGGGGCATTTTATGCTTTCAGAAAGAAAATAAGCATAAAACACTCCTCGGCTCTGAAGTCGAGGAAAATCCAGACAGGTTATTCAAAATGTATGGTCCTTCCAAAAGGGAATGTTTGTGGTCTTCCCACTCAGACAGCAGCTGTTGAAACATCAGCCCTCCCTGGCTCTGTCTGTGGTGAATTAAAGCTGTTTTCTTTGCTCAGGACATACCACACACGCAATAAAAGAACTAATGCTTGGATGAAGCCAAAAATGTTAACAACTGTTTTGGTGACAGCTGACAGAGGAAAGCCTGCTTGTGCTTGCCTGAATTGTTTTCAGAAGGCATTTACTGTACACAAAGGTTAGGCTATTCAGATAAAGGTCACATACAGTACAACAATGTGTGTTTTGTAAGGCATTATATCCAGAAGATTCAATGCAGTTCATTGTTTTGCATGTCAAGAGTCTAGAGACCATTATAAGAAACTTCTTGGGGTGTTTGGTGAATATCATTTCACTTTAACACACTTCCCTTGTAACAGTTTTTGTTGGCAAAGATACCGTTCAAACAAAGCATTTTTGTAATTTTGCAATGCAAGTTGTTTTCCAGCCAAACAACACACGGTAAATGTTTGTATTTACGGGAACATTTCTTATCAGAGATTAATAAAGTACACTCAAGGCAAAAGCTAACACAACCCCTGACACTGTTTGCCTGTAAACATAAGGTAAAGCAGTTTAAAGTCTGTTATACAAGCCGTCATTAATAAAACATGAATAAAACCCACAGAAACACAAAATAAATAATTGATGTAATTATTCAAGATTGTAATTCAAAAAAAGAAAAGTGAAAAGGGTTGCTGGTATAATGGAAGCCCAGACTAATGCAACAAAAACAATTAAGCTACTGTAACCAGGAGACGAGGTAATGAGGTACCAAGGTGGTGGCGCAGGAGTCAGGGGTAGTATCCTCGTGCAGGAAGGAGGTTAGCTCCCAACTTAGTTAAAAAAACGGTCAAAAAACCCTCTGACACTGTCTCATTGTTCAAGGTTTAAGGGTTTGCATTTGTTTTAAAGTTATAAAAGAGCACTCATATCTGACACCCCCCATCCCCAAGGGAGGCTTTGGAAGGTCAAATACAACTACTGTGGGGTCAGGCTTACCATACTATACCATTTGCAATACCAATATACAGTAGGTATGGAGGTATTTTTTTGTGGTTAACATTTGCACATTATGGATGTAGAGTACACAGGGAATTCATCCATGGGCACTGAACAGGCTAAATCTACCATGTTCAGCAGTTCAGTGTTGTGCCTAATACAAATGTCTTTTCTTAAACTTACTGTAACAACAATAACTAGAATCACACTCTGCTTTACAAAGAACTCTTCGCCGGAGGGTTTCCATCAAAGTCTCTGTTAGAATGGGGGATACGCGATGGTGCACAGAGACACATCACTTCAAGCCAACACTGCAGAGCTGTTCAATAGATTATTATAAGTCCCTAAGTTTTTAAAAACAAACTCAGAATGCAATATGAAACCAGTGGAGTACAGAAGGAATACATTTAGAAAACGTGATCCAGGAGTATGTCTTAGTGAAGTAGACTATGGAGTGCCACATTTCTCAGATTGTACTACAAACTGGGAGCCTGAAGCAGGAAGAAAATGAAGCCTCAAAACTACTCAGCCTACTTCGATCATATTAACATACAATATCTGCTTTGTGGTTATATGACAATACCTCACAAGGAATTGCCAGCAAATGATCATATTTATTTGTTTATTGCATTGGCTTGGATTTAAATCATAGAAAATAAAAGAACCATTAGCAGATTGCCTGTGATTCTCAACCTACCACGAGAGACGTAGCAGGATCACTAGAGACATTTCAGGATTCTTCAAAAAGCACAAGCATTTTACATTTAAGGACACATGAACATTCACATTCAACAGTTTGTTCTGTTTTTCTAAAATGTGATAAGCTGGATCAGGGGACCTGCAGGTTTCTTAAGGTGCAATACAGCAACTTTTTTTAATATTCACATCATCTCAACGTTTAAGATAAAAAACAGTTCCCTAATATCTTAGTTTGTTTAATAAGGAGTCCCTGCTCTCGTTTGAGAGAGAATGAGCCCCGGCAAACATCATAACTAAAGGTTATTCTAGGAATGCTGGCTTCTTGGCTGCCTGCTACTGTGCCTCATCACCAGCAAGATATCAGAGAGGTATTTCAGCTCTTTAAAGTACAACGTTCACAATTCCAGATCACCAATTCAAAGTAAAATCCTAGCTGTAAGCCACATTTTCAGGGCTTTAATGAGAATGACAAATCACAAATCGGGTTTATATTACACTTACTGTATATGTATTATTGCATTATCACAACTTAACAACCATCTAATGAATGTAGCATACAAATCAGGGCAAGGGCAATTATTTGTTAGACCCACCAAAGAGAACTTACTTTTGATCTATCTGTTGTTGTTACCTTTTTGTCACTTGATTGGTTATCAGATTGTTTCTCGTTTTGCAAAAAATGCTATTATCTTTCTGAAATTGTAAGCAATCAAAAAAAAAGTCTATCACTTGAGAAGCAATCAGTCTTTTCTTTTTAAATCTTTGATGAGCAAATTATTTATTCATGCCACATTACCAGCCTAATAAGTGACATGTCTTATAATGGTTAAATATTTAATGTTTTAGGATCTGCTGCTTTGCATAAGTATACTGTACAAACAGCTGAATCAAGATTTGCAATTTAGAGCCTCATTTTCTTTTTAATGTTCAAAATGAACATCCCCTACATCAATCAAATACTGTTGAAATGCTACCTCATAATTACCAGTCCTGACTTATTATATGTTGGCTTACTTCATAGGTAATTTAAAATGCATATGAATATTTAATGCTTTGCTACAGTGGTTCTGCCACAACTGAACTGCTGTTACTATTTGGAGAGTTCTCTTCGCAGTATCATCATTTTCTCTGCACACTGGATGAACAGACTGGGAGAAGTCATTCTAATATGCAAAAATGATATACTTCCATGTTAGGGACTTCTACAAGAGGTCCAGACATAATGCAGGGACTCACTAAGGAATAATCTTTTGGCAGCTTTAATGAGGCCTGTGCTGTTAACTTCTTGTCTTTTGATGTCTATGCCACATAAACCACAACCTATTCCTTCTCCTTAAGTGCCTGCCTCACAAATGAGTTTCTCAATAGGGAAAAGAAATGTCTTATTTTTTAAAACTATTTGCTTTACAGGAAAAACAGAAATCAAAATAATGGCTTGTGTTCTTCCCAGCAAAAAAAGAAACAACAATTGCTTGGCTTGAACAAACCGTTCTTTGGCATCATTTTTGTTTTTCACCTTCAAAAGCAAGCTTTGTTTCTTTGCAAGTCTCATATCTTTCATTCTAACGTTGTATCATTTTCAAATCTGTCTCGAAGAGGATTTTCTGGGTCTTTCATTACCATCAGCAGTCTCATTCAATTCCACTCCAACCTAATAATTTACTTGATTTACCATGAGATGAGGTCTACACATGAAAACTAAGGACATGCACAGTGAGACTGTCTGTGCTTTTTTTAATTCCACCTACAGTACAAAGCATAGCCATTATTATTATTGTTTTAAATGAAAAGCACACCCGTAAGTATCAAACTCCTTTCTCTCCTAGGATTTCTTCTGATTGCCAAGCTAGCATGTAATTCTTTGGCCTGTAAAGGATTTGATTGTTACTTGATTTTTCTGTTGCAAGCCTCTAATGACTACCTATAAGGCAGGTATGGGACACATCAATTTTAAGGTATTGTGTGGCTTTCTTACTAATTTAGATGTGCATTACATTCTGTCACTAAGTAAATAAAACTTTTATTACTAAATACCCTTGAGAGACCTACTTACCAAGTGAGCTACTTTAGATAGGCCTCTCATCGCAACTTTTCTAATGTTCTTACTAGGAAACAAGCTGTATAGTATGGAACGTAAACCACAAGACAGCAGACAAAAAATATGCAGCGTCAAAAAACAGCATAAATAATATAATGATTTGTCTTAGCAGAACAAAGTTAAGTTATTATTGAAGTAGTTTTATCAAAGCATTGCTCATTATCTTACACAGACATCTGCCACACAGGGTACAGTGTATTGTATGTACCCTGTAGGTACAGACTAAACTGAGAAAGTTTTGTCTACTTATCAATTATTCATCCGAGGCAACTTTCATTCCACATGTAACATTTGGTTCTTCACTAAAATGGAGATACCTACACCTGGCAATGGACAGTATCGTTGATCTTACAAGGAACTCAGTGTGTAACTGGACACTATATTATAATACTCGATTCTTCCAGACATCCTTTAATTTTAAAACCCTTCATCCAACATCAGGACGCAAGTGAACCTGAGCATATCCCTGCAAGCAACAGGTGCAAGGCAGGATACACACCCTGGACCGCACTCCAATCAATTACAGGGAATGCAGATGCAGACACGCTCACACCAGGGCCAATTTCTCCATGAGTCAATTAATATACCAGTATGTCTTTGGACTGTGGGAGGAAATGGGAACACCCAAAGGAAACCCAGGGTAACACAGGGAGAACATACAAACTCCACACAGACAGCCCCACTGCTGCAATGAAGCAATGGTAACCACTGCACCACGTGCCACCTCCCACTACTTGATTCTTGTTTGAGTTAAAATAATAAGTAAATACTGCAGGACTGCAAACATTAATGACAGGACAGTTCATAAATGTACAGTCTACCAAGTAAAACAAATGGTCTAAACACCACATTCTTTCTCACATTTTTAACATTAACATTTTTTTCATATTATTTTTCAGCCTAATCAAACATGTATTTAAATGCACAATGCCTTTTGTGTAATATACAGTATAATAAACTCTCATAAAATGTATGGTTTACACTGTAATTTTTAAGATGAAGATCTTAATATGGAGTATGTATTTAAAACAAATTAAAGTGAATATAACTGACAATACATTACCTCATTAACCTTTGGATACATTTATATAAAAAAATGATAATGGATACAAGACACAAGAGACAAAGAAACGGGTACAGTGATCATTGAAAAGGAGTGCAGACACTCAAGACAGTTATTTTCTTTTCAAAAACATACGAAGTCAAAACATGTGCATTCCAATGGAAGCATTTAAACTGTCTATGTTTTGCTATGCTATTTTATCACTCAGATCATATGCCTGAGAATGTGAAGCAGATGACCTGAGCAATGAGTCAGAGAAAGACTTAAAACATAGTTCTACTCTACTAATCTTCATGTAATAAAAAGACAAAACACAAAAAAGCCATAATACTTTTCACACCATAGTACAGAGGAGCAAGTCTGAAATTATTTTGCCACAACAATTACCGTGGTCTCCAGGGAGACTCTGAAGTTCTTATCTGACCTACCTTTTGTTTCATTAGATGAGAGGGAGTTTGCATATTAAAGTGTCTATACAATTGCATTGTTGAAGTGTATCACAGATTAAATTAGATAAAATGTTGGTTTAAAAACAGTCCATTGTAAGTGAGTGAGTCAATATTTTCTAGAATTCTTTAAAGCAGATAGATTAAAGCATCTACCCCCAAATTCATATACAGCTTAATTATAAATAGAGCATATGGCATTCATAGCATCCGTTTAAAATAAGCATAAGGCACAAATATCACACAGAAGGCATTCATTAGACTGTCCTTTGCCTGATAAATGTTTGAACTTCCAGAAACTTAGCCTTGTGAAGTCTTTTGGTGCCTGAACAAATCAGTCAGATGATAACCTTACTGTTGGACAATACACTGTTGTAAAAGTGCAGTGTCAATTCACAGGGCCGTAGGTAAAACCAGCAGATGGAAATACCTTCTTTATGCATACTGTACATACAGTACCATACCCACAACTGTGATTTCATGAGTGTTTAAAAATGATATTTTCAAGCATTAAGAATTTGTCCATGGTTTGTAAAACAAAGGTTGAGAAACGGAGTATAAGCAGGTCATATAAGTGTAAGAATAAGTGGAATTATTTACTTACATTTAGTGGTTAATAACATAAGGGATCATCATAATATTTTTAGCAAGTGCTTTTTATTTTTAGCATTAAACTCAAGGCTCAGGAAGATGTTTGGATAGCATTCCTCCCATGTGCAAAATTAATTCACACTTCAAACAGTAGACTGCAAACCCCAACACTAACATTTTAAGAGAGACAAAAAACTAGAGAATTTCAACAAGTCGTTAGGATAAAACAAAAAAGATAACAAATAGCAATAGTCATATAGCTAAAGTTAATATTGCTGCAAGGTGCAAGAGTTTGTAAGGTATTCAGGGACACTGTGGGATCTGGACCATTTTAAAACAATTTAAATGCCATTATAGAACTAAATGACTCTTTTCTTTGGAAACACAAAAACAATTTCTCACATGAATGACCCCAGTGTTCTGCTACATATTTGATTAACCGACTTCAGACTTTAAAAACATAAATGTAACAAAGAAGTAGATCAGTTACACAGGCATATTAATTCCACAAAGAACAAGCAGCAGAAGTACTGTAATACACTTACCTTCAGAGATCATTTGGGTTAACTGCTGTTAGCTATTTCTTAAATCTAAATTTAAATTTGCTTGCAAACTTGGCCTAGACACAGATCTAAGCTGATTACTGCAGACATAAGACGTTTAGGTAGATTGCATAGCCAACTGTTCTATGTCTTATGAATGACACTTCCTGTTGAGGTGATTTAAGTGATTAGATATTACTTAAAGTAGTATTTCCCAAACTAATAGAGTTTCTCAGCTTCTAAAAAAATCCCAGATAAAAACTTCTTACAGCTGACTTATATGAAGGGTACTGAACATAAAAAACAAGAAAGCTTCACTGTTTCCTGGAAATATACACAAAACTAACACTCAACCTTCCCTCACTTTTGTATAGTGTGCCCATACTCATTATGCTTATTCTTCCATGCTAAGGTCATTGTATTTTTTAAAAATTAAGCCTCTCATGTTAGCTCATGATGGAATCACTGGAAAACACACAACAAATTAAGTTCAGAAGTTTGGAAAGGCCATAATTAAGATGAAATTTAATTAGATTGATTTATTGGCTTAATACTCCTGGCTTATGGAAAGACAACCTGATGGTAAAACTGCACTTTATATACAGGATGAGTCAAGACCTTCCGCTAGGGTAATGACAGGGTGGAGGGAAGAATGTAAAATGATAATACACGGGTAGGTGTGCCAAAATCCTGATATTTATACTTAGGAGGTGGAAGTGGGTGAGATTAGGGGTTTACCTCCTCCTAAATATTCATTAAAAACTTAATAAATAAGGACCAGTAAACAGGTGGCATTTGAAAATTCTCAGTATAATGTACAGTAGGAGATTTACAAGGCCTCTCAAGAAAATGTGTTCTCAGTTGACCTATCACTTTTGTTCTAAAAGACCATTCTAAATGACCTGTTTCAAAGCATAAGAGATGATATTGAGTTGTAAGATTACATTATACTGCATCTGCGAGAACAGGTAAATAATTGATGCAAACTGTGCCCCCCATGAAACACAAATTCAAATACATTCATCCGTTTTCTAACTGCTTCATCCAAATCAGCCAGAGAATATCTCAGCAAGCAACAGGTGAGAGGCAGTGGACGCCATGGATGGGACAACCGCCCATCACAGGGAACACACACTTTTACACAAGGCCAGTTTTCCTAGCAGCCAATTAAACTAATTTAACACCCACAATTCAAACACATTGTTCAAAAAATGAAGGTGTATCATGCATACCAAATAGTTGAGGAACTGGATTGTGAGACCATAGATCTTGATTCTGACCTAAAGCACTTTCACCGGTAATTCAAAGACTTATTATATAAGTGTGGTTAAACTGTTTCATACCGACCAAGTGCTGTTAAGCCCACTGCTGCCGTTTACCCGCTTCGTGGCTGTGCCAGAATACAAACAAATAAAGAATGAATAATAATAAGGCTAATGTAAGAAAAAACATTGGGATATTGTCTAAATCTTGTGTCCCTGAAAAGGAAACCTGTCATTACTAATGAGAAAGGGCCATGTCACTGCCTGACTGCAGAGCACTTTTAACACATTCATCAAACTAGACCCTATCGCACCACCCAGTCACACCCTTCTTCTCTCTCGAACGCTGGACTTGATTTTTGGCAAACCTAGTGAGGCCAACTGGGAGTCACCTGAAAAGGGTAACAGCCACATTCCTTTCCAGGGAACATGCTGAGACAACAATCAAACATTTCCTTTCAGAGGGAAAGCAGCTGTAACCAATGGGAAGCACACATACCCAAACGATTACGAGCAAGAGTGCAAGTCTCCTAAAGTTTGAGTCACAGAAGATATTGGAGACAGAGTTTGGGTAGTTATGCTTATTATGCAATGATGCTTATGTGGAATAGAGAGCTAAACAAGCTCAAGGATAGAGAGAGCTAGACAAGCCCAACAGTAGTCCAGATCGGGATGCAGTCTTCGATAGTGGTTTTCCATCCTCTACAAATTTAACACACCATTTAATCCAATTTAAACTTACACATGGAATGTGTGCAACACCATAGAGCCATGTGCATTTGATAGTTTCCAAAGCTCTTTGTCATAGATGCACTGAAGGCATAACTGGCACCAGTAATTCTGGGAGTCCCTTTTCAGATGTGATATGTGATCCTGTGACTTTGAGCATTCAAATGCTTCTGCTCACTGACGATTTCCAGGTTAATAGTCATCTTCAAGCATGGTGCCTATTATGGGCAAGTCTATTTGTAGCTGAAAACCTTTTCTGTGACATTGAGTGGAGACAGAATACCCTTGAATCACACTTCATTGTGCACATGTGCAGTGCAATTCATTTGAAATACAGGCAGATCATAGAACAGACATAACAAACTGTGTCAGCCATGTTTTTAGTTTAAAAGGCTTCTTTGATTATATCCTTTCTGCATTGTCTGTATAGTATTCATCTGTTGAGTTCTTGTTATGTTTAGAAAAATGTAATTAAAAAACTGTTAAAAAACCACAGAATGGAACTATACAAACTTTTCTTCTATTCTCCTGTATTTATTTTATTCTATATTGGTTAGCTTCCTCCCATTTCCTCCAAAAAGAAATATCCCAAGAGATTTTTCTTTTGCTTTTAATGTACCCACAAAAAAACTAACACAAGAGTATGTAGCCTTTTTCGCAGGATTGCAATTTATAATGCTGAATGTGTAGCTAATCTGCTTTTAAATAAGAAATAATACCAATTTCAGCTATGAAATCAGCCATTCTGAAACACAGAAAATCTTTCTAAATTCAAGGTGCTAGTTTTCATTGTTCATTGTTCATACTCACTGAAGTACACATTTAAAAAATATTGCAAATACAGTGTAGGTTGTATTTAAATAGAACAACATGTTACAGTCACTGTGTAACACAAAAAACATTACTTTTTTTATTTGTGGTTAATAAATTCTTGAATCATACAATGCAATATAATATACACGCTACTCTATTCTATTATATTCTCAATACAAGAAATCAATTAATAAAATTAATTGATGTACTTAAACTGATCTTGAGGGTGATGGGTCAGAGAGCAACTCTTGCTTTGTCACAGCTTTTGCCAAATAAGAAAAAACCCTTTAAACAGCTGGAGGTGCATTGAAATGTATTGTGTTTTCTGACCTAGAAAGAAAGGTATCGATTTTGGCACTGAAACAAAAGAACAGGTAACACTGTGAGCTGTAAACGATGAAAGAGATACTTGCCCCATCCAGTGGGCTTCTGCGACTCATCGTCAGCCTGCGCTGGGGTATTTGTGAGCTCCTGGAATCCCTGCCTTTCCTGATTGACTGGCTGTGGGCCATAGAAACAATGTGTCTCTGGGATGTGCTCCTTCTCATCCCATTCTGGCAGCCTTCCCAAATTCCATCCAGAAGACGAACCAGGAGGAGGTTTGCTGGCAGCTCCTCGATTCCACAGGAAACTGGGGTCCTGCACTCAGGGCAGCGCACTTCTGCCTTGGAGTACACCATCCTTTGAAGACATGGCTTGCAGAACGTGTGTTGGCACGGTAACACTTTGGCAGAAATGTCCAGTCTTTCAAAGCATAGTGGGCACTCCAACAGGTCCAACAGGGCTAAGTCCCCCATCCTCCTCCAGGGTTATTGCAGATTCAACTGGTTACTGCATTCTTAAAACACAGTAAAAAGCAACTTTAAAAACAGCATTAATGATGATCAGAATGTTAAACATTTTGCAAACCCTGAAAGCAGAACTATTAATTCTGTAAAGCTGTGAATTTTATTGTGGATATCAGGTGAAATATGGATCCTCACCTGCAAATCCAGTTCATATACTGCTGCCAAACTAAAACATACAAAATTGCATTTGCACTTTTCCAAATCATGACGGTATGATGTTTAGTTAACTCATGTTTACGTTTTAGAAGAACATAACCAGAGAAATGAAAATTCTTGCATTAATGAGATTTTAAAAATGTCTTAAGTAAATTAAATATACTGTATACAGCACATGTATATTGTAATACAATTTTTAACAGACAATTGACACGCTTTACACTAATAAGTAATAATATTCTACCTATGAGTTAAACGTGCCTTTTAAAGAAATGTATCGCCACTAACGTATCACTGTAAACTTCTTAAAAAGTAATTTCAACAAAGTTAAAAAGCAGATCTCAACTGACAGTATGATAGCTCTTGAACGACTGTCTTGAGCTCAGAAAGGATATACAGTATATCGGTAAGTGTGATACTGCGCCAAGTAAACAGAATCGTTTCCATCTATAAAGACAAGAAATTCTAGCAGTTCCTAATTACTTCCATGGCAAGCAGACATCGACACCTCCTCGGGTGTCGGTGTTATTTTATACCTTCTAGTCTCGACACGCCCTTACTAGTAGTCACGTTGCAAATGCTGTGTAACTTCCCTTTCACACGAGAATGCGGATTACCCAAGCAGTACTTGGAATTTCCCATTGTTGGTCTCCGAAACACACCGTTCTTGGCAAAATAACAAAAAAAATCTAACAATATCTAATTTAGGGATTTAAAATCACACAAACACTGAAAAAAGTAATCATAAACAACATCAAAAATAAGAAATGAAGAACGTAGTGCATTTTATTAAGACAAAGCAATAATAACGCATGAGAAGATACTAACAAATAGTAAAAACTAATCTAAACAGAGACGTCCCGGATTGCTAGGGAAGCTATTCTTAAACTGTACCTTTAAACAGTGATAAAAGATGAAAACATTGACGTTTTGAGTTACGAGACATAAAACGACCTTATTATTACGAAGACCAAAAGCAGTTTTACAAATTACTTTAAATAGGAACATATACAAAAATAAAACAGAAATTGCAATCTTTTAAAGATTTGTAAAGCACAAATAACAAGTACTAACCTTGTGTTATTGTCTTCGGTCAGGTACTTGACAGGACTGGGGACAAAGCTCCAAACCACATAGAACAAGTTTAGAACAACTATGCACTTATTGTACTCGTATCAACTTTCAGGCAGCACTCGTTAACCCTTTTAAAGCCAAATGCATAAAGTATTTCCAGGAAATGAAAAGAATAAATATTCTTTAGTTATTAACAAGGTTAGAATTTTGTTTTACGACAAACGGAGATTAACAAGAACAAAGATTGGGAATAAAGATTTTTCTAGTAATACACATTTATTTTCTAAATACATTAAATCATGGATGTTTCGTTAGTTCACTTAGATTATGTAATGATTTTATTATTATATGCACAGATTGGCACCATTCATTAATAATCTCAATGTTAAGCGTTTTCCAAAGAGATTTAATCATAGCATGATCCTGCAAAGCAATATGCCGATATGGAAAACAACATCTAACAATATGGAACTGTAAGTGCATACGTTGTTAAATTAGACACATCTTCTCTGACTGGCCTAAGGACGACATCACTTACTTTTATTTCCAAGAGAACAGTGAAAATGACAGGGTCACCTGTTTCTACAAATCTTATTTTTTATTTGTATTTTTTCTTTTATAATCAATTATTTCTCCATGTCTTTCTTTTTTATTTTCTAAAGTCTTAAAAGATTTAACTACCTCAAATCGTATTTTTAATTTAATTAAAAATATGACCATTACAATACATGCTAAGCACAACAATGAAATGAAAGGGTATCACTGTGGTCACTGCTTTTGTATACCTGATCCAGAGACTAAATAATTCAAGGGACCGGGGACAGGAGGAAAGCTGATGTTACCATAATGTTAAAACACTTAAGTGTAAGACGGGAGTGTTTTATACAGGATCCTGCCATTCAGTGTATTTTCAAAATGGATGAACTTCAAATTAAACTGAATCAGAGATTTGAAGGGAAACCTAGGAAAGTGAGATTTAAAATTGCTTCATCTTACAGTGGGAGAGTTTTGAAGCATGTCTATGAAGATGGGCAAGAGCTAGAGAGTCCAGAAGACGAATATCCACATAGTTTCATCCATGGGAAACTCCCAAAGCATTTAGAGGTTGAACAGCTGTATGGATTTGGAGAGCTGAGGGAACCCGAACTGTTCTCGCCACCTCCTTTAATGGCTGAAAGGATCAATGTGTACAGAGGTGGGAAGTACAGCCTCACAGGTGAACCATCCCTTTTCGATGATCCATCTTCAGTGAGCTCCAAAGTGAGTACTTAACTAAAGGTTCATTTTTAAATCTTGCATGGCATGTAAAGTGCTTTTTTTCAGATTTAAGTACAATGCAGTCATAAAAAAATAACTTTAAAGTAATTCACAGTTTAATGGCTATATTTTTATTTTAGCAAAAAGACTGGAACAAACTAGAATAGAATAAATAATAAGAAAACCTGGCAATCACACTAAAACTAGAAAAAGGCAAACCTATCTTGCACCATTGTAGTACATGTCTGAATATATACAAAGGGATCACTGTCTTTCTGACTTATCAACATCCTAACACCTACAAAACAAATCTAATTTGCTTATTGCTATATACTGTTGCCTTAATGTGTATTTTACTCAGGTACACTTTGCTTCATCTTCTTGGCCGTATATCCTGCATTTAATTTACAGTACTTATCTTCAGTACCCTTGTCTACTTAGTACTGTGTTTTAATAAAAAGCTTTAACAGAATATAGAAGCGAATAAGATCAAATGTTTTAAAAAAGTGTGTCTTTTTTAGTGTCTGAAACGCTCTACAGAACAAGTCATTTCATTTTCAGTAGTTTCAGTGCTCTGTGTTGTGGTGATCTCCCTCTAGTGGTTTGTTGTCAAAAACCCGAAAGGAACAGGTTTTATTACTAACAGCCAGTAACATGACACCTTATGCAAACGCTTTCAAGATTTATAATTGGAAATTATAGACCCACCATTTTTCGGAATAAACGTTTCTTTAAAATATATCAGCATGGCAAAGTATTCCAATAAATACACATTTAAAAATCATGCGATTCCTTCAAAGTAGGGCTACATTTATAATAATAATAACATCACTTTATTAACCATTTACAATTTCTTGCATTAGGGATTATCTTTTCACATACCCAGCTTGCTCTCCATGAGAGCACGGGAGAGAGCACGGGGTCTGCCATCGTACGACGCCCCTGGAGCATTTGGGGTTAAGGACCTTGCTCAGGAGCCCAGCGGAGTAGGATTTCTCTGCCAGCTGCGGGATTTGATCTAGCAACAGGCGCAGATCCTTAGCCACAGAGCCACCGCTCCGCCCAAAAGGAATGGGCTCGTCTGGGATTTGAGCCCGGGACCTCTCGCACCCTAAGTGAGAATCATACCCTAGACCAACGAGCCACACTGGTTGAACAAAAAGGGGGCACCTACAGTTTATGTGTTATCTCTGTTTCAGTTATTTATCCGTGACCTGAATGCCTTTCATTTTGTGTCTTCCAGCCATCCTCTGTTTTGGACTTTGGAAAGATAATAATCTACACTAGCAATCTGCGGATCATCAGGTCTCCCTGGGTGAAGAAGGCATCTACAAAGAGCTCTCTTCAGAACAGAGACGGCACAGATAGGGATTCAAGAACAGATGAAGGTGGTAAAGAAGGACAAGACTATGTGCATGGTGTTCTTGGGGAAGATCAATCTAATAAAACTGCAAACAGCAAGGTAATACTAATACATACTTACTCATCAAACAAAAATAAGTCTGTTCAGCAGCTATTCCTGCACTCAAAGACTCTGCTGTTAAACATCTTCAAAGATAAATTGTTCTTTTTATTATTCACCACATATCTTTCTACAGTCTCAACATTCTCCCGAAGCAGGGTAGTTGAATATGCACAATTACCAATCTATATGATAAATTTGGGTCTTTTTTTCTGTGTGCTGTTTCTTCAGCTCTTCTTGTCCTTAGAGCTTCCTGGATTTTTATCCAGAACTGCTAGGATTATTTGGGATTCAGAGGACATTTGATCTGGGTGACAATCCGAAATGCTGTGGGAGAGGCTAAATGTCAACTTGCGAGTTTTTAATAGCAGGAGAAATGAATCATAACCCGGTGAATGAAAACGCAATGGGCTCCATTGTAACAAATGCAAAAAACGAGAAATTCTCATTCTTGGTCACAACCAGGGGAGTAAGTTAATTATACAGTAGATGGATGGAAACTGGATAAATAAAAGCTTAGTGGGAACTTGCATTGCCATGTGATATTATACATCAGTACCATGCAGTATGTGACATGCAAATACATAATGCAATCTGAACGCTTTCAACAGAGGATTTCAATGACAAACCCCTCTGTATTTGCCTTTGCAACCCAGTCAGTTTCTGCACCATGGCAGGTGTTGTTCAGCCCTTGCCAGTATACGCCCCCTAGTGGATGAATTCAGAGGAGCTGACCTGTCCTTCTGCTGTTCTTAGGATGAGGTGACCGGATGCTTGGAGTGCGGGGGGTCAGGGTGCTGTCCCTGCTCCCTGTGCCATGGAAGCAAGCTCTCAATGCTGGCCAACCGCTTCAACGAATCCATCAGAGCTCTGCGATGTCCTGCGTGCAATGCGGATGGCCTGCAACCCTGCCAGTCCTGTGCCCACTGAGCAAGCTAGACCTACAGATATACAGATTGTATCAATTGTGTTGTTGAACACTGCAAAGTGGAAAAATTATACTGTGTAAATAAAGGTTTGTGAAGTAAATGTAATTATTAAGAAGAATAAAAAACGTCAGGTTACAGAGTTGTCTCTTGTTAAATCAGGGCTCCTAATGTGACACGTGGAAAGCACCACTTGAATCACAAAACTAAAAAAATTTGTGCACATTGCATGTAGAATATGTCAAGTTAACATGACTGACTTAAGAAGGACCCCAGTTTTGTGCAATGCTGAGATTGCCCACGTTCAGTTTTGTCTGCCTTTTTTTTTAGGTTGTCTGATCTGACTGTAATGGTATGAGGATTTTTAAAGGAGTACCCATCAATTTATTTCAGTAACTTTACCACCAGTATCAGGTTTCATTCAGATTCAAATGTACTGTATTTGCAGCATTCGACCACCTGGTTGCTCCCCCAACAACTCTGGTTTTGTCACAACGTGGTGACAGATAACAGCATTTCAGACATGAACTGTACAATGCATTACACGAATTGCATACTAATACTATATATTTCATAATGGGCACGTTCATAACAAACTTTATATCAGTTTATCAAAAATATGGCTTCTTTAATATATCTGTATTAAAGTACAAAATAGTATAAACGTGTATATAACAGGACACTCTGCTGTACATCATCGCTGCTGAGATAAAGCATCTGATTAATCTATGGTATTAGTATTAGATCTATTCGGGTGGTGACGTCGTTCCAGGCTTGTGAGGATTGGATGGCCTATAGTAGTTAATTATATCAGTCAGATGAACATGATATTTGAATGTGTTGCACGAAATGTTTTACTGTATATGTGTCTTTCCCAACTATGTGCCGAGCGTATTTAACAGTAGTGCTAGGTATTAGCAAAGAGTGTATTTCCGCTTACAGTAAGTGCCGTATCAGTAACTAGCACCACCACTCAAAAGGAAAGCTATAGGTACAGTTTTTTCAACCCTAAATTTATTTTGTTGTATCGCTTCAGTGCTACAAACATCACAAATACTACACGAAATACTGTAACTAAAAAAAAACTGTAATGAAAGTAGGGGTAGGTGTATGTACAGTATCGAAGCAGCACATTTTGTGGGCTGAAATACATTCGCTTTGTTATTGCGTAGATTTAGTATTGTTTATAGGATGTACTAAAAAAAACAAAATAACTTTCATAGGATGTTTTAGATTTAGTGTTTTACTTGCAAATGTCTGATGTTACTAGTATTATGTAAATCTCTTTCTACGTGGCGTCCTGCACTGCAGCTTTAGGGTAACCAATAAAGTTATTCAATAGATTTAGTTAGAATGCATGCTTCCTCTACATAGGCATTACGTAGGAGTCGAGCAAAACGTCCCAGAAGTGGATAATAACGATTCTACCAAAACAGTTTTAAAAATATATTTTTTATTTTCTTTCGCAGAACCGATATTTGTTATAAGCATGGTTATCACGGTGGACGCAACAAAGCTGTACAAATATCCCTTTGAACGCGTGGTAGATATGCACTTAAACAAGGTACTGTATGTTTCGTAAACAATAATGTATCCATTGGAGCATAGTGGTATCGCATCGCAGTAGTTTATTTTTTAATCGATTTTGAAAAATCAGCAGCTGATGATAAACTATAACTGTTTTAAATGAGGTTAACTGTTTTGGTATAGGAATTGGATTCCTTCATCGTATTTAAATCAAATTAAATGCAACACTTAGTAACTGAACGGGAGCCCGAGCATTGCACATTTCCACCATTACAGTTTTAACTTTTTATTTTTATATATAGTATATAATCGACTTTTTCATTTTGTACTATACTGGCACAGCGAATAGGTTACAAACCCCAGTATGTGTTGTGATGTCATTCTCTGGTCTGGGCAGTATCATTATCTTGTCAAGTATCGAATGTTTACAGTACGTTTAAAGCGGCATTGTCTGTATTACAGTTAAAGCTTTGCTACACGAAGGACAGAACAGTTAAGACGTATATATATATAGAAATATTTCTCTACTTGCCCGTCGAATGGGATATCATATTATGCAGGACAGACGGCCGTGCACAGGAATTTAATTATGACAGGCCTTTGAGAGTTACAATTAACTTTATAGCGTTCTACTGGAAGTGAAGAGTTATTTTCGCTTACCAGAGGAATCCGGGAACTGAACTGAAAATTCGTCTCTAGTCTCTTAATATAACGGGTTTCTTTGTTGATTTGTATTCATACACTAAAACAAAGTACTCTACAAACGTGGAGTTTGCATTTTAGTTAGAGATGAGGGTTTAACAGTAATACTGTCACATGAGTAGTATAAACCCATTAAACCGGTCCCTTTCACATAAGTTCTATGTGACGATATATCCTTAATTTTATCTTTACAAATTATTGATTAGATAAACGTTGCTTTGTTGCTCGTGTGCTCATCTCGGACAACACCCAAACCATGGGGGCAGAAAGTAAAACTCAGATTATTTATTTTTTAAAAGTAATGTAGCCACTTGAGGACGCTGAAGATCTTTGAGTTACAACATTCGGTAAAACTCAAATGCCTTATTTATTGTGGTATAAGGTTAGGACAGTTGAGCATCTGAATATACTGCAAGCCAAAATGTCATCAGATTTAAACTAATTGTATGTAATTAAATAGGTAATTAAAATTAATGATGGCATCTAGAGCTAATGATCGCGAAAAAAATCTATAGTGGTTTATTTGGTTTAATTACCACCACCCACAAAGAAGTACTTGTCATTTGTATAGTATGCTATGTGAATTGATATATAAAGTGTGCCGGTATTTTAGCGTTGGATCTTTTACAGGCAAGATAAATAATAACAAAGCTGCAGAACCAACACAGGACCTCAGGCTAGATAATGTCACATACAATAAATAAACGCCAAGTGCCTTAATGCATACATTTCCAATTTACTAGATACGGGCAATCTTTGAAACGCTGACAGGCTCATCTTCACAAGCTGTCACCTATAAAACAGGCCTTTTCTGTTGTCTTGTCAGGGCAGTTTGGATACACAGCATGATCTCAGCCTGCCTCTGTGATGCTTATGCCTCTATCCAGAGTGTTCTTGTACTGTGTGCTAAGTGGGTGTTTGTACAGCTGCTTTGCTTCAGGTTAAGAGAGGTAAACAGAGTGAAAGAAGTTAAAAGATGCTTTCATTTTGGCCCTTCTTAGACTCAAACGTCAATAGGATATTAGAAAATTAATTTCCTGTTTTATATCAACAAAGTAGGTCTGGAAAATAATTACACAAAAAGCCTAATGTTTATTTTAAGGTATGCAGAATTTAAACGGATTTTCCACATCGAAGGTACTGTTTACATTGAAGTGATCTTTTTTAATCAAGCACAATAGACATCTCTCTCAAATGGTGACATGGTGATGCAGTGGTTAGAATTGATTGGGTTCTGGGTTCAATTCTGGATAAGGGGTGCCAACGGTGTGGAGTTTATATGTTTTCTCCACGTTTGCATGGGTTTTCTCTGGGTATTCTGGTTTCCACCCACAGTGCAACATACAGTATAAGGGTAGTTAACTGGCTTAACCAAAGGGGAAAGCTGACCCTGGTGTGAGTGTGTGGTTGTCTGTGTTTGTGTGTGCCCTGTGATGGAGTGGCATCATGTCCCAGGACGTACCCCACCTTGCGTCTGTTGCTTGCCCGAATGAACTCTGACTTTCCCCATAACCCTAAATTGAATGGAAGCAATTGGTAAAAGGATGGATGGACCTCTGTTCCTCTGCAAATCTCTGTGGCTACAGTATTTTCAAAATGTGACCTTCAGGTTCTGTGTTCTGTTCTGGTGGAACCACGTGGAGAGACTGTACTGTAAGTGTGACAAGACAGAAGGATCCGAGTGGTTAAAAACTGTTTACAACATACACGAGCCTCTTTAGTTGGTCATGAGTTAGCCAACTTTGCCATGAATATTTGTTGTACAAAAATCACTAATTGGGCTGCACAATGTACCTTCATGAGGACATTCAGGACATTTCTATCCATATCTAGTTGAAGCCAATCCCTATGATACAGTCGTACAACATACAACTTTCAGTTAAGTTCTTAAACTTTGGATGCGTTGCTGGTGGGAATGGTTCATCACTTACAGTGCTGAGATCATAACATTTGTAAAGTTTGTCCAAAGATTGTAAAATGGAAAACATACATTTAAGTTCAAGTATACTTTTCTGTTTTGCTTATATGTTTTTTTGTATTTCACACCATAACCTAATTATCTTAAGACAAACCAATCAGTGGCACAGCTGAACTCATTTAATATTTTTCTCCTTTTGTGTTTTAACCAAAGGCCATTTCCTGCTTTGGTTGTTTTGAATTATAAGGGGCTATATTAACCTATGCTAAAACTGCTTTTTGCACTCCGTGGAACTATTTGCCAATGCTGGTTATACAGAGAATGGTTAAGATATTCATTATAACTATGATATCTTCTTCCACTCAACACATGAAATTATATGTATATATCTTTACAGAAAATGAAAAGTTTTTTTAATATCATTTATGTTACAGTATCCTACTCCTCTCGAGGAACATGTCAGGGGAATTAAAACTGTAGAAGAAAAAACAGGTATGTACAGTATGTTCAATATTTATAAACCCTGTTTAGTTTTTCCTCTCACTTTAGCCCACTAAAATTCTGAATTAAAGAAAAAAGCACACCTAACATAGTCATAGTCCTGTTATTTGTAATTGAATAGTACTTAACATTTAAACTTAAAATATAAAAAGCAGGATGTATAGAAAGGAGACTTACTGAAGTCTTCACCAAGGACTTCCAAGTGGAGGTCTTTATCTGGGCTTTAATATTCGTGGCCATACTATACTATAAAAACAGGTAAAAGATTATTCCATGATGAAGGTTTAGACACGTGAAGAAGGCTCCACAGCCAAAACGTTTACTTGTTCTTTTGCAGCCCAAGCATGCCGATGCAACTACCTACTTGGAACGTCTTCATAGTATACTATAAATTGAATTGTTAGTAATATAGGCTAAATAATGAAAATCTCTTCTTTTTGTATTTGACCTTTATATGATGTAAATTAGGTACTGTGAAATATTGTTTTTACAATACAGTCAGATAAATATTAACACAAATACGAAGATTAATAAGGTAGAACTATTTTTGTACATAATTTACTTGTTCTCCAGTCCCCCTGTATATTCATTGAACTGCATTGCCTCTCTGCTAAATAACGAGAGTTTTTTACTTTGTTATTTATTGATTTGTTGTGCAGGCATTATAGTTATGTTATTGTATGTCCTGTTGACAAATTCAGTGAAGTTTGTTCATGCCTTTCGATTTTAGCATTCTATAGACAAGGAGGGGATTAGTGCTTCATATTGCCTGTTTGGTCCATGTGTTTCTAACACAAAATGTCTCAAATACATTTTGCTTAGTTTAGCATTCTTTAAAATATGTGTAATTTAAACTGTTTCTCTTCCCAGAAGGATATAGGAAAGGATTATTAATTTAATATGGTGCTGCTTATATTCCAGTTATTTAAGCCTGGCACAGTAACATTCAAAGTCTAGGAAAAAAGAGCAAGCTTTCTGTGTGGTACAAGTCTTAAGAACTGTAGCTTTTGTTATTTTCATATCTGCATTGAGTAGTCATTTAGAGAAATTACTTGCTCATTTCTGTTCTTGGAACTTTGATCTTTATGTTTGTGATGTTTGCTTGTCAATTATAAATAATTTTTAGAAAGCACATAGCTTTATGTGTTGTGTGCAGAACATTTATTGGCTAGCAGTAAGATATAACAAAGAGTATTACAAAGTAATGAAAGTAGACAGGTATCGGAAGTAATTCTTTTGAACTTATGCTAGGCTGGAGTTATTACATTATTTTATTTTTACCTTCTACATAGACCAGATCTCAGGAATTATATATAGAAGAAGGATAGCGACCTGCAACAATGTCATCCCTAAATTCTTAAGAAAGGTATGTTGAGTTTTTTTTTCCACTTGTTTTATAAAAAATATAAACTTGTTTTATTTGTATATTTTTATGAATAATACTCTCACTTGCAAACATTAGAATACTGGAAATATTGTTTTTGTTAATGGGTAATAAGTTCTTCTGGTTTGTAAAGATTTAAAACTTTTATGTTGGCAACATTCTGTGTCTTTATTGTCTTTAAACCCTTTTGTATTTTTTATATATTTTTATGTCTTGGTATGTACATTTTTTAAGTTGCATATATAAAGGCATTATTTCATCCATTTATGACAGGAGAAGTATTGCATTTTATCACTGACACACTGACCTTTGGCCAGAGGGTGTTATTAGTTGTCAAAGGTGCTGACACATAACTTCATGAGTTACTTTAATGGTTCCACACCTGTAACAAAGTTTACACCATGTCACAATGATAGATAGTGTGACATTTTCATTTGATGAAAAACATTTGTGAAAAACATTAAACTGCTTCTTCCATGTCTCTTCGAGAGGTGTGGGCCTAGTTGTTCATAAATGTGACAGTTTCATTGTAGTGGTAATTTAGAGTAGTCTTTCATGGCTAAAGGAAGAAAAGGGAAAATTCTGTACGCTCACTAACGCAATCTTAAGTGTACAGTTTTTAACTATGAATTTTTCTTATTAGTCCAGTCTAAATAATCACATTGAAACATGGATTCATTTTATGAACACAGCCATCCTAAGAATCATGATGTCAGTTTGGCTGTTTATACACATATTACCTTTTGTGAGTAGCAAAGTATCATTTACAGAAGATACACCTTTTTACATTTACATTTCCACTGTAATTGGAAGCATCTGATATTGAGTGCTCTAATAAATTAAAATATTGATCAATTCACAAAATGCATACATGGAGCAATGATAGTTGTGGCTTTGTTTTTTGTGATATGTTTTTGTGAAAGCATTACATTTTCCCTTTCTGTACCTTTAGAAATTCCCTTTTTTATTGCAAAATTATGAACGGTGTATGTTTGTCTCCGTCTGGTCATTCATCAATCAGTTCATTCATTCATCTGTTGGGTATGTGCTCCTTTCCCCTTCAGCAGACCTTGATATTCAGACACAGCTTATGTTTAGATAACCTCTTCTGTCAGGTGGCAAATAATGCATAAGCATTTGAAAACTGTTTTTTAAAATAGTTATTAAGAACATAGAGCATTAGAAATGTTACCAAAAAGAGGAGATCAAATGGTGGTTATTAGTTTTGTGATCCAAGGATCTCAGTAAGTCGTTTCTTGAAAAATTCCAGACATGGCTGGGCAGATTGTTCCTTTCTCCCCCATCCCCTTGGGTAAACGACTGTCTTGGTTTTAAGTGCACTTTCATGTAGTTTCCATGTGTCCTCATTCCTTTTTTGCTGTTAATTCTGACGTAATCCACTGGGTTGACTGTCAGTGCCGTTAAGGATAGTCACTATTAAGTGAAAATTATTATATGTAGTTGTATTTCTATAAACTATAAAGTTTATATGTAAACATATAAACCTCTTCTTTTATGGAGTTTGCAAAAAAGGTATTCCATCCTATTCCAACTGCTATTATTGTTTATTATTTAACAATTGGGTTCCAGTGCTGGCATGAATGAATTCAGAAATAATAATTTAATGTTTGATCATACACATAATAAGGACAGCACTGTTCTGAGTGAAGCAATGTGATTACTTTTCAGATTCACGTCTTGAATGTCAATGACATTTACCTCGAAGAGGAGTCATGGCTGGATCTGAAGCATAGGATTATGAATATTAAAAGCCGTTGTCTCACATGGGCCCAGTATGCTACCTTACATGAAGTATCTGTTTTCAGGGAAAGTGCACTTAACCCAAACTGGTAAGTGTTTCTTTTGTTGTTTTTTTCTGGTGACTGTGTTGCAGAAAAATTTCAAATATATAAATATTTTTGTATTGGTTTTCTTTCTCCGGAAAAATATTGTCGCTCTGGATTCAGTCCAAAGATGAGTGAGTTCCTGGTCTCAAAGGAATGTCCTGTTCTAACAGGTTTATAGAACTTATACTTTTTTTTTTCCAAAGAAGACTACAGAGGGACCTGATACATGGATTTAAAATCTTCAAAGCTACTGACAAAGCCAACCTAATGAACTTCCTCTTGTTTATCTGAAGACACAAACAGAAACCAAGGGGGAAAATTGAAAATAGGAAAACACAAGGCACTTCTTTGCACAAAGGGTTATCGAGCAAGAGCTCAACCTTCATACCCAGTCGTGCTGTACAAGTCGATATCCTAGTTTCTTTAAAGAAGTGCCTTTTTTGTTTGTAAGCCTTCTTAATACATTCTACAATCCATGTGGTGAAATTCTGGGTTCTGCCAATGTTACATATAACATTTTTTAAAGATGTCAGAAATAAATACATTCATATGGTATCAGTATTATGCATGGTACAGAGGGCTTTATCTTTTATCTTCTGTTCCATTTGGGAAATTATTACTTCAAAGTGTTAATGGAGCTTTTGGCCTTGACATGTCATGCATTTTGTTGCCTAGCAAAGAGGGTTTCCACTGATGGACTGAATTACTGCTTCATAAACCAACTGTGATAGACTAAATAAAACACTTTTGGTTGCCCAGTGAAAGTCAAGGCCTAAGACAGCTGGTGTCCTGGATTCTTAGGCCTGCTATTTCTGTTTGTTCACATACTGTGTGCACAATAGCATTTCCTCTGCTTCTCCGAATTTTCTGCCCATTAATTTTCTTAGTTTTTATATTAAGCATATTAAATTCCTACTTAAATTCATTTGAACATGGGGCATTATTTTTTTCCGAAGGTGCAGTAATTAGTTGCGTGCTGGATATTCTTTACAAAGCTGTTACTGCTGTAATTTCTATGTGAAATAATCATAAGCTTTCCAATAAATGGTTCATTATTTAGTTTCGTCTTTCAGGCTGAGGAGTGACACCTAAATTACACTGCTTCAGGCAGAATATTAAGAGAAATCAGTTCCTTGAATGTGTTCAATATTTAAGCAGATGGCTTTCATTAATAGACTTCCTAGTGTAACTCGGTCATCCTAATGAAGCAGACTGGTTGACTTTGTACTGTAGGTATTGATTTTTGATCAGTACTCTCCATGAACCCTTTGCCTTTTCTGTTTTCTTGTGCATGCTAGGCAGACAAGCAACCTATTTTACAGAAACTTGCTGAATGAATAAACACTTTCCATCAGTGGCAGTAATGGCATCAAAAAGGAATGGTGTCTTAAAGGAATTATATCAACCTGCTAACACAAAATATTGTTCTGAATTTCAATGTTAAACAATTGAGAAAAAAAGATTTGCACTTTTTTAATTCTAGTGGCAAAACACCCTCTTCCTGACAAGACCAATTGGATGACACAGTCTGTTCAGTGGTCAGGAAAAGAAAGCAAGGCTTCTTTTCTTTCACTCCATCTCGTTTTCTGTACTGATCTTAACTGATGTTGTGAATGTATTTTATTTTTCTAGATAACTATACACACAGTCCTTCTTATTCAAGGGCGATACAATGCTGCACTGTTGCTGGATAATGTAAATGTGTATACCAGAAAAAGCTCTACTATACAAAACATTTTGTGTACTGTATATACTGTAAATACGAAAGATAAAAACATAAATATTCCAAATAACAAAACAACGTGACTGAAAATAAATACAGTACTGCATCATTTTCTGTTGGGATAAGGAATATTCTTAATGACATAATGTGCAGCAAAATGTCTGGGACACTTCATGCATCTGCGAATGTTCTGGAAGTTTATAGAATAATGCCTCATGTCAGGCTTGGCCTGACACCATGAATATGCAAAGCCACAAATAAATTAACTGCAGATAAGGAGGAAGGGATATTTATTTAGTTGTGTTTACAAGAGGTCATTTTCTGTGACACATCCCATGTTGAAACATGCTTGCTCTTTCTGAAGAACTAAAAAAAAATCAAGTAAATGTCACAGTAGCTTGTTAAGCCAGAACTTGTCCTACTTTCTGTAGTGTTAAGCAAACTCGACAGCTAGTGACTCTTCTCCTGTTGGTCCATCACAGGGATCATGTCCAGCAATGTTGGTCCCCACTTACAGTATAAAGCTGGGTGGACAGGAGCTACTTGGGTAAAGTACCTTGAGTGAAGTACAACAGCTGGTCTGCAGGTCTGTTAGTTATAAATCCAGTGGCTTACCCACTAAACTATGCTGCCTCCTGAAAGTGCTAAATGCATCATTAAATCAACAACTGTAGACCCATTGAGGATCTTGATAAGTAAATAAGAGTTTTTAATATTGTATTGTTAGCCTTGCAAACCTTTTAAGGCTAAAGGAGTGTCTCAAAGTTGGTTTATACATGAATACATTGGAGATATTTTTCTGTATTGCTTAATGCTTAAAAAGTAGATCTCTATAATACAGACATATTCAAGGACATAATCCACAGTTCCAAACTGTCAGCTATAACATTGATGGCTTATAAAAGGAACTGAAGAATAGACTAAGTGCTCTTTTAGAACTAATGTTAGTATTTTCCATTAGTGTTTCTCAGGTGATGTGTTGGTGTTTGATTCAAGTTATATTACCTTCATAAAAATGGCCTAATTATTGTAATGTACATTTAGTCTCTTACATTAATGTGCTCTTTGATATTGAGATTGTGCTCTAGGAAGTAATATACGCAAAAACATTATGTACTTATTATTTAAGGGTGTAAAAAATGAATTGCAACCAATCTTTTAACAAATAGATTAACAAACTAGTGTCTTGAACATTTTTTGTAATACATAATAACATTTTCTTTTTTCTTGACCTATATGTTGTAATTACACAGTTTTATGTTGCTATGGATGTAAACTAAGATAAAGAAAACCTGTCAGGAGAAGTATGATTTGACACAGGAAGGTTTGCACAGAAAGGAATTTGAAATACACATCACTGTATGAAGCATTTTAAAAGACAAGTTTGCTTTGCCACTCAAATGGCTCATGTAATAGGCTGTAATTTTCTGGTAGTTAAAAATGACAGTGATGGTATAGTTGTCAATGGGCTGTGCAGTGTTTTTCCCATGATTGAATCACACAGGAGCTTATAATGTAGTGTATTTATCCATGATGGATACATAGAATTTAGAGTTTTTAACTAAATTAATATGGTAAATATCAACCTACAAGCTAAAACAGGGCAGTTGTTTTTGAAAGGTTGCAAATATCATTTTTAATTAAACAAATAATTTTAAATTAAACTCTTGTTTATAGTACAGTATGATAATACACCTTCAGTTGTTCCAGGAGAGTTCATTAAAGAAATAACATTATTTAATGATATTCATGTCTTTACTTACATTTCTCTTGTGTGGGACTGATATTAAGACACCAGCTGGACATGTTTTCATAGTTAAGTATGTAAACTCTAGAGAATCTGGTTTACTGTTTCAAAAAACCTGCGAGATTGACCTCATTTCAGAGTTGAAGTGCAAATTGTGAAGTCTGCTATAGGTGTTACACTGTGTGTGAGCATCTTTCCGTTATGTGTTTGGTTCTGGAAGATAAGTACAGAAATTCATTTCTGAAATGGAATCCTATCAGGACCTGCAGGCAACAAATCTAGCAGCTGATTTACCAAAAGGCTATCATCTTACTAGATACTGAAGTGTTTATAAGATGTTGAATAGGTGGATTAATTAGTTACTGTTGACATAATTGGTCTTTATCAGTAAGATGCTAATTAAGCATGCTTATTCCTTACACGTTTGAAGGGCTCTATGATAGTTTTTTTTTTTCATTGTGATCGCTGCATTCACAGTAAACAATTTCCCATCTTGCATTCTATGAGAGTTTGATAGCATATTGTTGATGTTAAAATTTTAAATGCCTTTAATTTTTACCTCTGAATGCATTTGATTGCAGAAAGCAGTCATTCTGAACAGGCAGTCCCAGCATGGGTCTTTTTGATTATCTTTAATGGTACGTTTTAAGTGTCATCTCTGTCCCTGTTTTAGAAGTATGTGTGATGCCTGCCAGGGTAATGTTTATGAAACTGTAAATACAATACAGAATTTCTGGCTTTAAGAAGCTGCATTCTCTGCCAAACCATGCAATAAGCATCAGCTGGAGAAACACTATAGGGTCATACTGACATAATGGAGCATCTTGTAAAACCCTCTGCATATTAAGAGTAGCTGTGATGAATGAATAGTAACCCCCTCCATATGTTTTTGGAAATTAAAATAGTTAAAAAGCATGATCAGTTCTTTTCCTGATTTGCTGCTGTAGATGCAAAGAGGGATGCCATTCATGACCCTGGTTTTGCTAGGACTGCCTAACACCGGGTTGTTCCCAGCAGAATAAGAAACAATTTTGAACAACAAAGAAATAGTTTAGGCTCTTAGACATTATTACTACAGTAGGTTTCTGGTGAGGGTGACTTCACCTTTAGTTTTACTTTGAAGGCCAGTTCATCTCTACTGAAATGTTACTGTGGTGTTTGACTGTGTTTTTTATATAACTTGTTTGGTTTACACACAACAGCCTTGGTTGGACCTACTGCAAATTGTTGTTTTAAGAGAATTCTTCAAGTCCCAGTGTCAATATACAGTATTAACGCTATGAGAGCTGGATTGAGAGAAGAACACAAGCCTCTAATATTTAATGTAATATTTCGGATCATTCGGATTTGTATTCCAGCCAAGAGTGGAATACTACTCCGTTGGGCCCCTGAGCAAGGCCCTTTATACCAACTGCTCCAGTGGTGCTATACAATGGCAGACCCTGCGCTTTGACTCAAGCTTCTCTCCCTGTCTGTGTGTCTGTGTCTCATGAAGAGCAAGCTGGGGTATGCAAAAAGACAAATTCCTAATGCAAGAAATTGTACATGGCTAATAAAATGATCTTATCTTATCTAATCTTAAGAGTGGGTGTTATCTCTTCAGAAATATTATTGGCCGTCACACATAAAGTTGTTGATGTCACACTTCCCTGGCCTTGATGTTTAATGTAAAATGCTGTCTAGTTCTCGGACATCTACTAACTGGGTATGTCAAATAATTATTTCTAGGAAAATGAATAGACCTACAGCATGATTGGAATGAACATGTGCACATATGTGTGGATGTATTTTGTATTCCCTGATTGTGACACAGGTATTAAACTAATGTACAGACCCATTTTTCTGTTAAAGTAGTTAAAAGGGATAAAGTCATCACATTTTGTATGCTTTTTACAGGACAGAATTCTGTCAGCAAGGAAGCATCAATGTCACGGGTGTAGGGAAACTCAACAGGTTATTTGAAGTGTTCGCTAAATCATTTTTCAGTGAAGGAGTGAAGAAGGTAAGGAGTCTTGTCACGTTTTATTTTTCTCTCAGGTGTGTTGTCTTTGTTCTGTGCTCGCAATGCTTTGTAAAGTATTTATAAGAATGCTAACATATCATTTTGTAATATTACTGTGCACCTGTGCAGTTACTCGTTCTGAATTTGTACACCTGATAAAAAAGTAATATTTGGAACCCTCTGAGATACAAATCCAATAGAAATGAATGGAAACGATGTATGTATGCACATATTTATACATGAATAAATTTGTAAATGTGTTTATTATTGTGTTCCCAAGCTACAAGATGTTCTATAATATTCTATTAAAATCACTTCAAGGCAGCCTCCACGTCAGGATTTGTGAGTTTGAAAAGATTAATGGAGATGCCTCAGTTCTTAAAAGCATCTTTTCATTTTAATATTTGTCAAGCTGTAACAAACAGGAGGTAAATGTCCTGAACACAAACAAGGCCTCCTATTTGTCTTGTGGTACAGTACATGCTGCTTTACCAGCTCTCTCTTTATTCCATTGACTCCACTGTTATTTATGTTTAGCAGACAAAAGGGGTTTACCATAGTCAAGAGGGATTCTGTTGACAGCAGCAAGCGAAAATCTATGTGGGCAGTCAGTTTTCTTTTTCTGTTTGGCACTCAAACAGAAATTCTTAGACTTTTGCATTGTGAATCCTTCAGTAGGTCAACCTGCATCAAACAGCTGAGATAGAAATTCATTAAGTGTATTGTTAGGGAAATTGTGAGTATAAATTTCCTTTAACCCTGGTAAATTTCTTTAACCCTTTTATGTACTTTATATACTTAATGTGAAATTAAAGAGAAGATTTAAATGAGTCAAAATAAACCTGTTTCTATTCATTACTGCAGATTAGATATCTAATACTGCACACAATGACGTGAGAAAAACTTGATAGCATCTGCTCTGTTCATAGACAAGATATTAATCTGGTTTCTCTGTGAAGCAGCAAGGAGAGTTCATGGAGATCAGGTCTCATGGCTCAGTGTTCCTCTCTCTTGTGCTGTGTTCTTGGGCCTTATTTATCTTTGTTCTCTTTATCTATTTGTGTGTCCTATGGTGCTGTTTACTATTGTCCTCCAAAGTGAGATTATAATACAAATCAGAAACTTTGTTCTGTTATTATTATAATCTGTTATTATCAGAAGTTATTAAAGTTTGTGAAATATTAGACACTCAGTTGCTTGCAAATGTAAATTTGGACAGGATAGCCAATAATTAAAATAAAGAATCCTAACCCCCAACTTGTAAAGCTTCTGCCAGTATATCCAGACTATTTGGTATTTGGTAAATTATTGTTCCCTGGGCACAACTTTGGTCAAAGTTTAATCAGGCAAAGTGGGTTAAACAAATATTTATTAACAATGATGCTAACTAAACAACACACAACATACAAGTTATTCTATCTACAAAAGATGTTTCAGAGGCCTACATACCCTCAGAAAACCCTCAGACAACTACTAATTATTCAAATTCCTGCATAATAACTACAGTATACATTCCAACAAAAGAGACTAACCTGCCTTCTGAAATAAAAAAGAATACAACATGATGTTAATTCTCTATAAATCCAGTTGCAAAAAAATGAACAAGGCCCTATCTCCCTATTCTAAAAATGCTCTCTCAACGGGGCTCAAACACTTAACTTGAATCTGGTTTTTAAGGCATATCCGGAAAAAGGACCTCTCTCCAGGCACTCCTTTTTCTCTCCTTGTGTCTTTCTGTCCTTCCCATGTCTCTCTCTGTCCCCTTCTCCACCTGTCTTTCTAACCTGCTTTGCTGGACTGTTGAAAACTCTTAATGATTTACCAAGAATTTAATTAACTAAAGTAAACTAACCAGTTTCTTTGATCAATGTGTCTCAGAGACCACCTACAGCTCTGCAAACACCTCATCTTCCGTACATTGTTTCTACTTGCTTTCAAACCTGAAAACTGCAAATTGACACTGTTGACAGTTGCTAAACGTTGAGCACCCCACCCCCTCAAGTTGTACCAGTATATAGTATATTTGTAATTTTAAATATATACTGATGGGGGGAAAAAAAGCGCAACATTTTCTGAAACGAGAATACTATAGTTGTAGCTTATGTACTTTCACAAAAAGTTGTCAATTTGTTTTAAGGCCTCTGACCAGCAATACAGCTTGTGCAGTGAGGCACTGCAACTTGCCAATCACATGAAAGCTCGTTAGGTGCACTTTTACCCAACGAGGTGCAGGTGGAACAATGCCTGATCAGGTCACCTTTAAAAAGGCCTTAATTCAAAGCTTAGGTCACTGCAAAAAAAAGGCCACACTTAGTCAGTTTTCTGTGCATTCCATAATGCCTCGAATGTCACCAGAAGCAAGGGAGAGGACCATTGACATGCTGCAGGCAGGCATGTCATGTGCCAGTGTTGCCAGACACTATGGAGTAAGCCTCTCCACTGTGTCCCAACTGCAGAGAAGGTTTCAGCACACCGGCAGGACAGATGACCATCCAAGAGCGAGTGACAGAGCAGGACTGACACCTCAGACTGCTCCATCTGAGAGATTGTTTCAGATCTGCCACCTGTCCAGCTGCTGAAACTGCTGGCAAACACAATGCCCGCAATGCCTGCTGGCCTTAGAGCAAGGAGACCTGTCACAGGACCTCTGCTCGCACCTTCTAGCCTGTTCCACCCAGATGGGAGGGCCCCCGTGTGGAGGAGGAGGTGTTGCATTTATTTTTTCCATCAGTACATTATAGGCTACTCTTTTCTGGTAAGAGAAACTTGTTTGTGCAGGCACAAGAACGGTGTGTCTTGTAGCTGTTTGGATGTAACCAGCTGTGACACTACTTTCCACACACTACCTTTTTATTATGGAGTAACAAGTCAGGAAGCATACATAAATAAAGATTCCTGCTCAAAAAGTGAATAGATTTCTAATAAGACAATAGAACTTGGATGTTAGATCATCTATGGCATCTGCATCTGAAAACTGAAAAAGTTTGAGTAGTGAACAGGACTTCTGCCTTGTTAACGTCCTTTGAGGGGATTAATAGGGATTAGTAAATTGTGTGAACACAAACCAACATCCACAGCTGCAGCATATTATTTGTACAGTAGCAAGGTGCTTGTAAATAAGTTTAAAACTGTTGAAGTTTGAAAATAAAAACACATGGAACTTGAGGATAAGCATTTTGAACACTGAGAAACGAAGGCACTAAGGTTATAAGTGCAAGTTCTTAGTTGGTTAACTGGTTTCTGCGATAAGGGTCTGCAAAAAATGAAGAGAAAATAGCCCAAGTGGTTGTCAAAAAAACTTGTTCTTCCAGCATCTCTGAATATGGTGTGTACACTTTTCGATGAGAAGTCTGCTGAAGAATTGGAAAGCTTTGCTCTCAGTGATAACATGACGTCTCAGTGAATATGTGATATAGCCTTGAATTTGGGAGCCCAGCTTATTACTTGGCTACAGTTCACCAAGGATATTGCTATACAGCTTGACAAGAATACTGATGCTTCAAACTGTGCAAAACATTTTATTTTTTTGTGAGACACATGTGGCAAGATGATTTTATGGAGGAGCTGCTGTATTGTCTGACTTGAACCAACAAACACAACCAGACCTCAGAGATTCAAAAGCACTGAGTGAGTGTGTTGGTGGAAAATACAAACTAGCATGGGCTAATTGCAAAGGAATTATGAGTGACAATGCAGCAGACATGACAGCAGGAACAGCACAGTTGTGAAAAATACCTCTGGCACCTGGCAATTATTTCGTTTTGCAGTTGATGTTTCAAAACTTTTGAGTCCAGGGGTATTCCCCCAGATCTTATGATCGTAATGAAGCTAGTACAGAACATTGTCAATTGTGCCTGTATATCTTTGATGAATTCTCTATGAAAGGTATTCAGTTTTTGTTTTTATTACATAGCTCATGCCAGTTACTGCAATGCAGATGAGTCACGTACTGTATATGTACTGCAGAGAAAAAAAATATTTTTTTGCCATAGAATGTCATTATCTTGCCACAAACAATGGGAAGAGAAAACAAATTATATTATCAAATTATATTTACAATTTAAAAAAAATGAACTTTATTGTTTGATATACAGTAAATACCATTATAAATGTAAAATATAAGGACAGTAGTTAATAATAATAATAATAATAATAATAATAATGATTGCTTACACTTATATAGCGCTTTTCTGGACACTCCACTCAAAGCGCTTTACAGGTAATGGCGACTCTCCTCCACCACCACCGATGTGCAGCATCCTCCTGGATGATGCGACGGCAGCCATAGTGCGCCAGAACGCTCAACACACATCAGCTATCAGTGGGGAGGAGAGCAATGAAGCCAATTCATAGATGGGGATTATTAGGAGGCCATGATCAGTAAGGGCCATTGGGAATTTTGCCAGTTAAACCCCTACTCTTTTCGAGAGACACCCTGGGATTTTTAATGACCAAAGAGTCAAGACCTCAGTTTTACGTCTCATCTGAAGGACGGCGCATGTTTACAGTATAGTTTCCCCATCACTATAATGGGGCATTAGGACCCACATGGACCGCAGGGTGAGCGCCCCCTGCTGGCCCCACTAACACCTCTTCCAGCAGCAACCTTAGCTTTTCCCAGGAGGTCTCCCATTCAGGTACTGACCAGGCTCACACCTGGTGAGCTTCAGTGGGTTCCCAGTTGTGAGTTCCAGTGATATGGCTGCTGGTTAAAGTATATTGAGGTAGACATTCAATATACAATAGGTGTTAAAACCCTGTTGTTTTTATCTTGGTTAATGGGGATTTAAGGCCATCTAATAATAGTTTATTTAGTCTATGTTAATGTAATTAATGTGTTCTGTTGAGGAAAATGCATGTGTCCCACAGTGACATTACTATTTTCACCACTTTGAAACAGTTTCAGACCGTTTCGTACTCCGATATACAGTATATCTCAACAAGTATGAAGAGTTCAGTGGATGATCCGGTTTTAAAATATGGCTGTCTGTGTGTGTAGTATTTTTTTAAATACTAAAAATCTTTGAATTAATTGTATTAATTGACCATCTTGGATTGAAATTTTACATTATAGTTAGATAACTTACTGTGTACTTTCATTTATCTGCAAGAAAAGCAAATAAATAAGCAAATAACAAGACATAGCACGTAGTGTAAGAAACCTTTCTCAAAGAGCAGCAGCACTGGCCAAAAGTTTAAATAGATTTTATTTTCAAGATGGATGAAGACTTCCTTTAGAAAACAATCTGCTGTGTTAATAGCAAGGATTGCCAATTTGCATAAATGTCTTCATTCTCTTCTGAAAGCTCTACTTCTAATCTGGAAACAAAATATATGTTAGCTTAGTGATAGGTGTAATTCTGACAAATGTCCTTAATATCCATGTATAATGCAGTCACTTGCTGAGAGATTAGCTTTAAAGTCTGTCAAGCCACTGTTTAACAAACCCCAATTTGCAGAACAGAGTTGTATTCTTTCCGCTGGCAGCAGATTAAATTAGTTTCCACCTCGGAGTAAATTACTTGTGAAAATTTATTTGAACATGTACCTGTTTTGAATACACTTGCATCCCATGAAGTGCAATCTTTCAACACTCCCTTGACTGTGCACAGTCCAGTGTTCCCACTGTTTGTTATATTTTATTGAAAAAGGTTTGCGTTACGAATCATTCAATTAAATGTTTTTGTATTTTTATTTCCAGTGCAGGTTAGCACCTCAAATGTGATTCATAATGTTGGAAAAAAAGAAACATTGTAATATGAGCTCTGTGCAGGCATTTTTTCTGTATTTCTGTATTGAAATACTTTTATTTCTGGAAACTTCTCTTTTTGTATACCTTAATCATTTTAAGAGTTTCAGTCACACTAACAGAGATAGAGAACAGCTGTTTAAACTTCAATGCATAGCATTATTGTATTTGTGTATTTCTAGATTGAATTAAAGAGCATGAAGCAGAGGTAAATACACATCTCACACTGGAATCTTTCAAATCCATGTTTGTAAAACACAGAAATACTGTACTGGGTATTGTTATTTTGAAAATTCTAGAAACATTTTTTACAGTTCCATTCTGATGGAATTACCTGTGGGGTTAATGGGGCTTAAAAACATAACATTTGTATTGTTTTCCGTTGGGACTTCTGAATCTTGTAAAAGGTGTCTTGTAAATGTGAGTTATAATACATTCTTTAAGAAGTGTCACAATATCTTTTAAAATAGCAGGGCTAAAAGTTGTTTCAGTAATCTCTGCATTTGTTTGGCTTGATACAAAGGAATAAAATGGGTAAAAGGGAAAAATAATTTGAACTGCAAAAAGCCTTCTTTGGTAATGACTACAGATTGCAACATTTTCATATCTTATTATCTCCTGACATTGAAGTGTTTCTTTAGTGTTACTTTTTAGACTTAATGTTTAAATATCGGTCAGCAGAGCATTCTAGTTTCCTATTCCTCAGTTTAATTGTTCATGCTTTAATTCTTAGAAGAGTTTTTCCCTGAGGGCTGATGTAGAGTATAATTTTCTTTAGCACTTAAAGACCTTCTCTAAAACTAATCTGCTATTTAGGCCATCTGTAAAAGGTTTTAAAGTGAATAAATGTTAAAATGGATGGTTTTACACAAGATAATTTTCTTGTGCATTTTAAATGTCTGTCACATAATAAGTGTAAATTAAGTTCCTTTAATCTCAGATTCATGAGGGCTGAACGATTGAATTGCTTTGATATTTTTTTATTGATTTCGTCATTCTTTAACAAAATGCCCTCCTGTGACCCACAGCTATCCTTTAATAGTCCATAATCCATTTAAAGTATGTTTCTTGCATGATGGCAAATTCTACAAAGTCTAACAGATATGTCATCTCCAATGCACAAGCTAATGTATATATGAAGAGCTAACAAGTTTACAAGTGTTTTTTTATTTCTTTGCTTTCAAAGAACATGTTTTAGGAACTTAGCAAAGCAGTCTAATGGCTTGTCTTGCAACCTGAGATCAAAACCAAGAGTTAAGAATCTGACATCACTGATGTGTTTTCCATGCATCAAAAGTGACATTTTCAGAGAAGGTAGTACAAGGTCAAAGGATTGAATGGCTGAAATTGAAAATCTGTTTTCAATGTGAAAAATGTGGTTTCACCTGTTTATGATTATTATAAAGCAAACTAAACTTAATGAATGCACAATAATCACAAAGAAAGCATTTTTTACACTATGCATTCTCTAATGTTAAAATCTTTTGACATCTTACATTTTAAAGATGTACAGTACAAGCTTTCATCTAGAGAGGATTCTAGTTTAACATGAAGTTATAATTAGCATTAAAGGTTAAAAATTGTAGTGAAGTAAAGAGCAGTGTTTTCTCCTTTACCACTTAAGTGTTACATTTAAGAATAGTACATGCACATTTTTAAATCTGAAAAAGCCCTACCATCATAGAATTTCTATTTCCACTAATCCACCCATTTCCTTTGGTTACCTGTCAGCAAGAATTATCAATATATTACCCCAAAATGCAAGAATGTTGAGGTGAATAGGCAAATCTTTACTCTGTAAGTGTGATCAACATAAAAATACCTCTTTATTGTTAAAATGGAAAGCTGCAAATTAATATATAATCTGTGTCTTGTATTACAGAGTGTCCGTATTATGGAGACCATCCTGGAACAAAGATTTGGACGTCCTTATTCTTAAAAACAATAAGACTGATCTTGTTTATCCTGCTGTTACTGAAGTAACAAAATCTTTTCAAACTGAATTCAAATTGTTCCATTGTCACAGTGGATTCTGACTGATTCTTCACACCAGGACCAGTTTGTTTAGTCAAATTATTTGTAACTGAGAAGCCAATTAAGATATCCACATAGCACTGCCATTTTCAACCTATAGCCTATATTGCTACAGAGACTTCTTCAGGAATGAATCATGAACTGTATAGCCTCTGCTTATTTCTGCCCTTAGTTACTGTATATGCTTGTATGCTTTCTGAAATCAGAATTTGAAGATTTTGTTTTTGTTTGTTAGTTTTTTTTTTAATGTTAGGGGTAATAATTCCAGACTTGAATTTAATTAACCAGGGGGCTCCTGAGTTTGTCTCAGGTATTAAGGGTGCTTGTTCAGAGCGCAGGCTGAGCCCTGAAACACAGTTGTCAGAGAACTCTGTGGTTTGACGGCACTGGAGTTGGCCACCACAGAGTTGTTGGGTGCCTGCAGTGCTATCGGGGAGCCAGTATCCTGTAAACACATGGGGAACTTTGAGAGATGAGAGATGGTAGAGAACATAAAGAAAGGTGACAAATGCACATTTCAGGGGAAAGAAAGCATTGCCTTCACTACCACGAGATAGCATAGGTGTTAAAACGGTAAAGCAGAGCTAATTATTCCTAGTTGGAGGTGTATAAAATGAAATTAGTTGGTATATGTAAAAATTGGGTTTGATTACATCATGAAAGATTCAGGAAAAACTAAAAGAATAACAGAATTACTAATATTCAATCTTATGAGATTCAACATTCCGTCCTTTTAAGGATCTGGTGATCTGCAGACCATATTAAAAGTCACTTGTCAGTTTAGAAACCTTTGGACCTGATTCTTCTTTATACTGAATTACCTAATTTATTAGTATTGCTAATAAACTTGACTTCAACTTGGGGTGCCATTCATATCTACTCATATTGTATCAGCCCAGGAGTGACCTTTTGATCTCCTGAAAGCAGCAGTGATATAGTGAGCATTTTACTAGAGCCTATGAGATGGTAAGGTTCTGTTTTTTTAAAATATTTCCAAGTATTGGTTCCTTTTCCCCACTGAAGAAGGAATTATATTTTTAAAGTGTTAGAAAAGCAGGTAAGCAGACAGTTCATAAGTTGAACGAATAAGGTGCAGGAGGCTGTTTTGATACAATAAACTGAATAAAAAAGAACATTGCAGTAATTTATGTTAATGAAATTGATCTAAGGCAGTTTTGCATTTTACAGCACCATGTGAAAATGCAGAGCATTCTTCAACAGCACTATTACATCTATCAGGAAAATTAATAGGAGCCTTCAGCATTGTAATGAAACATTTTAGAAACATAAAACATTTTAAAATGAATGTGGCACATCCAGTTTTTTATTTCGGTAGTATATAGACGCAGAACCATTTTCATATTTGTGCAATAAGATATTGGAATGATGTGGGTGTATTTTGCATTGGAAATTATGGGCTGAGAGTCACACACTTTGTAAAAGTTCACAGAGATGTTGTGTATTAAATGATTTTTATTGTCTATTCACATTGCTTAAAAAGTATTTTAACCATTTCATGTTATGAGAAATAAACTGTTTACTGTTTTCAGAACATTCTTTCTACAGCTAGGAAATGTATGCTACATGTGAAAACATCAGGCACATTACACAGCAAGATTAGAATTACCTGCTTAATTCAGACTGAAAAATAAAAATGTCATTTAAGCCACTTTAAGGAAACTGATTTTATGAATAATTAAGCTATCAATATATCAACTACTGACTAATGATAAAATATCCCCCAGTATTTAGGAACAGTTATGTTCATGCTACAGTTGATACATTGCAAGCATGATCAAGCTAATTGTAAACAATACATTTGGAGCAACAATACAGATCAGGAGTTCACATCCTAAAGCTCATCTGCAGGTCACATTTGTTATTTCAGGTGTAGCGGCAATGCTTATTAATAATACAGGAATTAAGTTTGCTGTTCCCTTGCCAGTCTCTCTCTCTCATCTCAGTGGTGCTGGACACAGAGAGGCCATTCCATGTGGTTCAGATTTAAGGTATTTTTGTGTCTCATAGAGTTTCCTGATAAAGCACAACTCCCAGGGCTGAGATTCTCCAGCCACCCCAATGAGTGGTCATCTCTGGCGCCTTTCTGTCTGGGAGATTCCAAGGGAGAGTCTCATCCCAAAGTGTTCATAGCCCTAAGGTCAGAGAGCATTGTTACTCATCCTCCACCTTGATTTGCCAATCAGTAACTGGTAGGGCAGGATAACCCCACGTGGGTCTCAAATACCTGCGAAATTTTTAACCAATGAACGACCGTAGTTCCTCTAGATAAAAGAGGCAGCACAGGGCCCAGAAGGTGCCCCTCCAGGACATTCTCAGACTCAGCTCGGACAATCATGTGACGGCCAGTGTGTCTGAGTGCCAGGACTTTACTTTGTTCTAAGAGTCAAGACCGGAGGTTGCCCACATGTAACCAAAGGATCCACCCGAGGTTAGCCTAGCAGCAAGCCTCGTGAACCGCCAGTACCCACTGGGACCACTCGCCTGATCAAAGAGTGAACTATGGTCGGAGCTGTCGACAGCTGAACCTTAGTAGTCAGGATTAGTGCTACATCGGGAACAACCGGACTTCTTCCTGTCTAAAGAGTGTGACTTGCTCAGACTTTTCATGTGTACAAACCCTGCTAGTTCAGCCAGGACTAACTAGCCGGTCTCCAGAGAGTCACTGCCACCGCACCACTGGAGGAAACTCTCCCTCCTTCTCCTACACCTCCACCAGGACAGGCTGGCACCGGGCCAGAGGACGCTGATTGGACGCAGCAACAGCCTGTTGCTGTTCTTTTGTGTCCACTGGAGATCTGAATCCACATAAATTGGATGAGTATTCAACATTCTGCATTACAGCTCGAGAATTCAATTGTTACCTCAACCCCAGTTGATGTCAATTTAATTCCTATGAGTGATGTACTTGCTTTTGAGTATCTAGTGTAAAAGTTGTAATCAAAGCTCATTAATGAAACAGTATAAATGAATGGTATACTGAATGTATGTGCCTCTTGGTATTTGTAAATCTTCGTTATTGAATAAACTGTATACCTTTTGTATTCTGCTAACCCTCACTATAAGATCTGTTATGTTTATATGTACATTTTATGTATTAAGAAATGTATTCTTGTGTATTAGTATCCATGTGTGTGTGTTGCTGAGTTGTTCCGCAAGGTCGATTTCTAATAGCCATCGAAGAATTATTTTGTGATTTACTGCTACATTTAATAATTGTCCCAGTGCATGCACAAAACTCCTACACATGTCTATCCTAGTCTCCATGTCACATTGTTATTACAAGCCTACCCTAGCTCCTATCTGCGTGTCACCCTATTATTACAAGTCTTCCCTAGCTCCTATCTACATGTCTTATTTTTTATTTCAGGTCTACCCAGCTTCAGTCTGCATGTCACCTTTTTATTACATGTCTACCCTAGCTCCAATTTGCATCTCACCTTGTTGTTACAAGTCTACTCTAGCTCCTATCTGCATGTCACTTAGTTATTACAGGTGTAGTTTAGCTCTGATCTGCATGTCACCTTTTTACTACAAGTCTATCCTAGCTCCAATCTGTGTATTACCTTGTTGTTACAAGTCTAGTCCAGCTCTGATCTCCATGTCATCTTATTATTACAAGTACTCTCCAGCCTTTCTTTTTACATGATACCTTCTTTTTACATGTCTACGCTCTGATTTGTATGTCACCTAATTATATCTTCACTCATCCTGATCTGAAGGTCATTTAGTTATGTAGATCAGAGGCATTGTCAAAAGATTCCTCACTAGTGGCATATGCGGTGATGTTTCTCCCTTGCACTTGATCCAACCCCTGACACCTACCAGTAAAAGTTGAAGTTGACCGTAGTACTTGATGACTTTGTTACCAAGTTTCTGAAAAATGAAGTCATGAAGAATGATGTTTCTCTGATGCACATAATCGTGTACTAACCACTGCTGATTGGAAGTCCTAAAAATTTGGCCCAGGTAAGTGCAAACCTAGCTCTGAAGCTTGACAACTCAGACTGCCTAAGGTCTAAAGGTAAAGTGCTCTGACTCACATTATATTGACATGGAAGGATTACTGTGTTAATCATTATTGGTATTCATCTACCAGCATAACTGACTTAAGCATCCATGTTTTTTAATGAAAAGTTTTGAGCTGTGAAGAAAAAAAAGGGTTTTCGCATTTACATCTAACATTTCTGAATAACATGCGAACAAAAAACATTCAGTACAGTATAATTCTAAAGGACAGAAAAAACACTTTTCCAGAAAATGAAAACACTAAAAAAAGAATTAAAGGATCTTGGCATTATTTGTATATATCACACAATAGCCTGAGGAAGGCCAAAATAGGTCCATTTTGTAAAAGAATGACTCCGCCGGAAAGCACTCAAGTAAAATTAGTGCAGTTTATTTACAGTGCTCCCAGTCCCCCACACCAGAAAACAAACCCCCCAAAAATGAACAAAAATAATACTACAAGTACAGACAAATCCTCCCTATCTTATTGCTTTCACTCTGATTTAAGTCACACTACCTGACTCGCCAACCACCAACAACAACTCCCTTTTAAGTTAAGGAGCCAGCTTAAATAGTATGTAAGCCTCTCCCCCTCTGGAACAAACAATTTCTCCAATTCATAATAATTTCACAAATTATACATTCATAATTAATTCCTTTCTAACCAAAGAACATCACATATCTTAATAACACAGTTCTTTTGATCCCAGTTCAAATAAACAATACAGGAAATAAACAATACAAACAATAACATTTCCCTTTCTTCACATGCATGTGGTTTTTCCATCTCCATAAATAAACCTTGAGAAATGGGGTTAGGTTTGACCTTTTGAGGCCACCTAGGCTGACCCCCCCTGCCCCATGCCCCCTTGGAAGTACCAACACCAAACAAACAGTGAGTATCATCTTTTTTGAGAGTGCTTTCCATTCACACCACAATACTCACTCATACCTGTGTTTAAGTATGTGTTTTATGTACAGTATGTTAATGTATATGAAAATAAGTAATAGCAGTTACTGTTCAAACCCTGAGTGTCCACCCTCAGGAACTTATCTAGCAACCGCTCAATGGAAGATGTGTGAATAGTGTAGTTCCCGTGCTACCTGTACCTCGTGACAGGCACCTCTGTCACAATATAGTATATTTTGTTTTGATTTGAATTCCAATACTGAACAATCCTCTGTCATATCTTCTGATTCGTTTTTGATATCATAATTAAAAGTAAACATTTTATCTACACAAATACATCAATCAATTACACAAAGAAAATGAGCTTCACCTGCCTGTGAAGAGTTTTTAGAACTGTTTGACCTCTGTCATTACCAAGAGTACAAAGCCTTGAATAACAAAATAATACAACAAACATATTACTGTTCATATTAATATAAAGAATGGAATAACTTGCCTCGTTAATTGGGTTTTAAATTTCAGTTTTGGTCATGATAAAACCTTTGTCTTCACAAACTCATTTTCAACATTTTTTGTTTGCAAAAAAGGTAAAATCTAGTGCTTTAGACAAATTTACCAATTCCATCTTAATATTGAGAATTTTGCAACGAAAGCAATGTAATCCCAAGTTTAATGACACTTTAAACTTGTTACATGTGTAGTATGTCTTATTAATTCCTTACACTTTTACAGCACTTTTCAAGTAATGGGGAGTCCCCTCCACCACTAATGTGCAGCATTTACCTGGATGATGCAACCGCAGCTGAAGCCCACACAGTATGCTCACCACATTAGGCCATGGCTGGTAAAGGCCAGGAGTAAATTTGGCCAGTTATTAAATCTCGGTAACAAAATTAATTCATTGACAGTATATAAAAAATTCACCAATTTCAAATGAAGCACAAAAATGTGGACTTTGTTAAAGTACTGTATGGTCACCATTGTACATAAGTACTGGCTGTGCAGCAGAAATGTTCCAATGTGATCTATGTGTAAACAAGTAGTATTTCACTGAAGTCAAGTGCAATATTTCTATTGGATTTAAAGAGATGTATTCACAAGCCTGCTTCACATCACCGGAAGTTTTGTTGCTTTGTTCTGGATTGCAGACAATGATGGTAATATGGCACTGCACATACCTGGAAATTTCATCTGTTTTGTGACGTAAATTGGAGGTTTTACAAGATGTTGTGTAATTTTACTCATATTGTTGTTTGAAATGCACTCATTAATGCTTATTCATTCTAACCCCAAAATATAAAAGTAACTTTGCAGTCCCCCTTTAACATTCCTGCTCTTTTTGAGAAACACCCTGGGATTTTAAGGACATTGGGAAGTCAAGGCCTTGGTTTTGCTTCCCATCCAAAGATCTTATCTTTTGGATAGTGTAGTGTCCCCCCCCATCACTATACTGGGGCATTAGGACCCACACAGACCACAGGGTGAGCGCCCCCCTACTGGTCCCACTAGATACTGGTCCCACTAACACCTCTTCCACCAGCAACCTTAGTTTTTCCCAGGCCAGGAGGTCCCCAATCCAGGTACTGGCCAGGCTCACACCTGCTAAGGTTCAGTGGGTTGCCAGATGTGAATTACAGGGTGATATAGCTGCTGGCTATGACAAATGTATTGCAAAGATACAAAATAAATTAAACCCTTGATCCCCTGTTTGATATGCTTAATCTGTGTACTTA